AGTTCGATCGCAGTATAGGATTTACAAGTATACATGAGATTTACGTTGTAGAATTTTACTGGATTTCACTATACTGTTCCCTGTGATAAAGATTGCAAGTTTTCTAAAAAATGTTGTTCCTTATGATAAATCAAAGTTTGCACAGAGTAAAAAGTGTTTATCTGTTATAGAAAAATTTTAAACTTAGAAAAAGAATTGGATACGCGGAAAAAATAGTTCAAAAAATACAGAATTTTCTGGGTAAGCGGATATAAATATTTACGAAAAGAAGTCCGTTAAAATGTGGTGAATAGAACAGGATAAACTTTAGAAGTTGTAGAATAAATTCCTAAAATTTCTGAAATTTATTCTGTACTATTCATCACATTTTACAGAACTCCGTTACGTTAAGGACTGTATCCGCTTAATCCAGAACAATCTGTAAAGTTTGATTAATTATTTTTTTCCTTGTATGAAATATATCAAATTCGTTTGATTCTGAAGCGTGTACACTGAAAGACTTTTTGTTTCAAAATTTAATATGATTCATTTCAAACAAGGGAAAACGATGTTTTTAGGTTAATTAATCGTACGAACGTATCAGCTTTCGATAAAATAATACTAAAAATTAGTGTGGTCCTTACCAATCTTTAGTATGAACCATATTAATAGCTGATACGTTCATACGATTAAATAACCTAAAGACATCGTTTTCCCCTGTTTGAAATATGAACCATACTAAATTTTGAAACAAAAAGTCTTTCAGTGTACCTATAAATTGGTTACAACATTCAATTATTGAATAATTTATCCAACTGAAAAGTGGGATCTCTCGCAAAGATAATACAGCTAAACAGCTGGATATATTATCCAAGAAACAGTTGTTCCTACTAACTTCAAATGACTATTAGACTTTTTAATCTCTTAACGACAAATATTTTTCCCATTGAACACAAATAACATGCATATAACAATTCTGGAACAATTCTATGAAAATGTCAGCCTATACGTGTAACCTGTTACTGGTACATAATTGTTCTGAGACAGTTATGTACCAGTAACAGGTTACACGTATAAGCTGACCTTTTTACAGAATTGTTACAAAATTATTATATGCATGTTATTAGTGTACACTGGGTTATATCTCTGCTTTTAATTTTTTATAATTAATTTACATATTAGACTGACTGAAGTTTTAAATGTGTCTACCACCGGTTCATATGAAATTGAATATTAGAAAGCATTGTTTTCATCTTTTTGGTCTAAGTTCTCCAAGATTAAATAGTTTTTTTGCTCAATTCATGTTTGGTATCCAGCTGAAATAGACTATTTCCAAATTAAATAAATAAACTTGACGTGTCTTTTTTAACAGGTCTGTTTCCATTATTTGAAGCTATAACTGCGAATGATTTTTATATTGCAGTATACAACAAACTTTCCTTTAAAATTCTACCTATAAGGTTAAGTATGTCCCCTTCTTCCTTTAGCTACATTTATTCAAAATTATTAATTATTACAGAAGTTGCAATTCAATATATTTTTAGGCGTTTCTAACGTTTCTAACTTTTATCGACTTATTTTTGATAAAACAAGATATTATTCGACTTTTCTATCATATTTTGTAACAAAATACTATTGTTTTACCTAAAAACGGCTTTAATTCAAAACCCTTTTATTCTAATTTTACAACTTTCTTTTTCAGTATTAAAAAGTGAAATTATTATTCATTAAAACAAAGTTAAAAAATTTAACTTCCAATATTCTTCAAATTTTATTTTTGAGATACACTTGTTTTTACAACTTTATGAATTTAAATTTTGGAAAAGTTACAGTAGCAATTTTTAGAAATTATTATATTTTAGAAGGTTTCATATTACATTTTTTGAAAATTTCAATTGATAATAATATTAATTAGAATATTGATATATTTATTTTGAAAAATTATTAAACTGTAAAATATATTTAGTTAAAAATTCTAGAAAATCATTGAATTATAGAAGAATTACAGTTTTCATTTTTAGAAATAATTGAATTTTTATTACTGCAATAAATTTGTGTGATTTAAAAAGTTTGATTATAATTTTTAAAAGTAATTGTGTTTTTTGAAGAAAAATATGAAATATGTTAAAAAATATGAAATACTTATTTGAAAATAATTGAAATTTATAGAAACTTAGAATAGAAGTTATTATTTGGATAAGGGAAAAAAGTTAAAAACATTTCAAGGAAAAGTCATAGAAAGAGAAAATACAATTCTTATTTCAACTCTCAATAAAATAAATGACTTTTTCGACTTCTTTTTACTTTAAATCGAGTAAATAACTCTTTTTCCTCCTTGAAGTCAATCCGAGGCTTGTATTTTAAAAATTATAATAATTTTTTTATATCATTTGTGATTTAGAAAGTGTAAAATTATGAAAAAATCGGTACATTCTTTTCTGAAAGTATAGGAAATTTATAGTACATTAAAATAAATTCATTTAAATTAATTATTTCTTCACTGCCTTAGTCAGTTTCATTTTTTGCATTTTATTTTCGAAAAGAAACGCTTCTGTTTATTATTTTTATAAGTTAGTTGATATTTACAATACGTTTTATTTAATTATGTAGAGATTTTAAAGATTCACTAATGACTTATTAGCAAGTATTTATCAAGAGTACTATATGTTTTCTTTGAGAACGAAGTATTCTTTATAAAAAAAATATCTTCTTCCTCACTTGCCTCTCATTAAAGCGCCGATCGCTTTAATTTAAAATTGATTTTTTTAATTAATCAAAGGTTTAAGGAATCCTTTATAGGTTATTCCATATGGTATTCCATAGATTCCCATATTAGGTAATCAAAAAAAATTTCTATATATAACCTGAGAACAAAAGTTTCCTCTTTAAAATTTTTTTGTACGTTACTTGTAATTCAACAATAAAAGATTGGATTTTTGGTTGGTTTAACTTATACCGAAAAGATGAGTAAAAAGTAAAAACTATCAGAATTGTAATCAGCAAAACCGAAAATCCTCACCACCCACTGTGAAATTGCAACATGAAAATCTTTTTTTAAAAAACAATAAAACGTGCTAGTAATTTTAAATTCAATTTAGAATTTAAACAGATTTTACCTCTCTTCAAGAGTAAAATCGAAATTATTTTTTGTTAAGTCTTAACAGAATTTTATGGGTATTTTTAAAAAATCAAATGTTTTTATTAATATGAAGTATCAAGTTCAAGGCTGTATTTTACTGTCTTAAAGGAAATGAATTGAGAAGAAGAGTTTCGGAAAGGAGGCTTCTATTAATATTTGCTTCAGGTCTGAAAAACTGCTCTTAATTGATATTCCTATTGCACTGTGACGCTTTTTTTGAAATGTAAAACATGATTAAAGTATAAGTTTTAAAAAATATATGTAACAATTTTTAGAAAAGAAATCATTCCGAATGTTAAGTTTTTGTAATACTTTGAGATAAAGCGCATTAGATGCCCTGTGGACACAAAAACGTTTGTTTCTAAGACGTTTTTCGAACATTTCATGTTTTGTCAAATAATGTATTAATAACGTTTCATGTTTTAAGATCATTGGACGTTCTTAAAACATTATTTTCTGTTCGTGAAATGTTCAAAACTCGTCTTGGAAACGTTTCCATAACAAAACCGTTTCTGTGCCTATTGTGTGGCTTTTTGAATGCATAAATTTTATTGTCATAAAATGTTTGAGTTACTGCTGTACAAAGTAAAAAAGTCTATAAGAAACCACCTTAAAGCAAATATCAGTTTTAGACTTTTTTACTTAACAATCCCAGGTGGAAAAGTTAACGTTAGCTAATGATACTAACGTTAGACTAACGTTAGGCTAACGTTAATCTAACGACATTTTTTGGTCACTAACGTTAGATAAAGTTAGTATCATTAGATGACGTTAACTTTTCCATCTGGAAAGACAGTAATATTTTTGTTGTACAAGAGTAGTATTCTTGCTGCACCTTTATTTATTGTCTGATAATACTTTGCCTTAAGCATATGTTTCTATGCGTAATACAAGAAGAAAAACAGTCTGTCCGTTATAATTACATTTTCATGTTTGATGTAACGTTAATTCCATTTTTGACAGCTTATTCATTTTGTCGCACTATGATTATCAAGTTTCAATAAACTGCTTTTTTACAGATAAGACACTTTACTTGCAACACTTTTTTCTAACAGGAAATAGAATTGATCTACATGCAGAAAAATGATTAGACAAAGTATTTAATTCATGGAGAGAAGAGCGCAATATTTCTCTTAAGAGAAGAATCTGTTAATAGTGTCGTCTGTAGTATTCTTTGAAACTGATATTTAAAAACTCGAAACAAGATGAATTCAAAACTTGCCAACAGAAATTACACTCCAACGTCAGTTTGACAGACTTTTTCTGTTGTGATTTGTTTTGGGTTGTATTGTTCGCTTTAATGGACGACTCTCCCAGACAGTCCGCTAAACCGGCGTTGGAGTGTATGTATAAATTTTAAAAAACTAAACCCTTGGGTTTAGTTGGGTTGTCAAAATATTTATAATCAATATTCAAAGGCTTCTACAAACGCATTTTCTCACGAGGCGGAAATTGCACTCACTCTTCTCTCTGTGAGTGTTGAACATAGAAACGCTATCCAATTAATTGAATGAAAACCTTTTCTTTGGATGGCAAAAGTGTTGATTTATTTATTACTAAGTATAAATTATTTGATTAAATATTTATTCGAAAACGACATTGTCATTTATGCGTTCTATCAGACACCCTGTATATATAATTATGTAATTATTGTGCAACTGTCGACAAAATTCAGGCTGTTATTCTAGCACTTTAACGGAAAGTAGGAACCACAATGTATTAAATTATTCAACAAAGATTACAGCTTACAATAATTTAAGATCAGTAAAAAATCAAAAATAGGGTGGAGGAAGTAGAGTAGTGAATAATTTAATAACTTTGATTACATTTGTAGTGGGCTTCTGTACAATTAAAAAGTATTTCGTTCTCTCTCTCTCGGTAGTGGCACGCGCTAGGGCGAGAGGAACAGGCCAAGTATTATGAATTGGCTCGACGGGAGAGACAGTTGCACATGCAGCTGTACCCTGACTGGTCTTCCCGCGCAAATACCAACAGAACTAAGAAGAGGAAGCGCAAACAAGACACGAACAGTGATCCTGGAGGTACTCATATGCCTCAATCAAAACATTCTTACAATCCCCTACTCATTGTTTCATATTATGATGCTGTTATTACTAAATTGTATTGCTACACTACATTATGTTGCATGTTTCCCAATCTCGGATTTTGCAGATTATATATATTATTTTATTATCATGTCATATACGTACTTATATCTATATTTATATATATATATATATAAACAGTAACTAGCTCGTTAGCTAGTGGCCAGTGCGCGAGTGCAATAAACACTCTTATGCATTGTGCTCTTGTTTCTCACTCGCGCTCACGCTAATAGCATCGGCTACTGGTTAACCAACTTTGCTGTATAAATATATACCATTTTTTGTTATAGCGCATAAATTTACACAGCAATGCTTTCGGTCGTACATCTATAATATACGCCCGTAGATGTGCACGCGAAACATACATTAAATTATTTATATATACAACTTTAGGGATGCTGGCCATTTTGCATTTTACAGGGACCTACTTCGCAATCAGACAATCCTTGAAGCGTTTAATTTATTTCAGCCATTTTTCTCCTAATTAAATTTTTAGATTATTACATGTTTTATCCTTTGATCGTTTCAATGTTGCCTGATCCTAGTTTTTATTTTTACTGTTGTCTGCATTAACTCATTCACATTGAGAAAAATGAATGTTTACTATTTCGATTAATTTAATTACACTCAAAAGAACAAAACACATGAGCTAATCAAAAATAATTACACGAATGAATAATCAATGTTGTTACGTTATCTGCAAGCATTCACTGAGTATTTATAGGCATGTCAATCATTTTTAATATTTATAAATGAAAAATTGTGATGTTCATTTTTCTCACTGCAAAAACTTTCTCACTCTCTCTCTCATAATGATTTCAATGCTTGTGTACTTTCATCTACATCAATATTTATTTCTGATCCATTTCCTTAAACTAAACACTAATGAATACATTCTTTTTTCTTACATGCATTTAACAAAAGTTGCATGCATTGTTGCTTGCTTATTGCTATCTATCTGTTAGAAAAATAGCACATAAAAATTTTGATACTCTTCTCATACAATGAAATTTACATACATCATAAATTTTCTTGTTTCAACCCAAAAGTTTTAAATCTTATAAAGATGTTTCTAATTATAATTGAAAACACCTTTATATTCAAAATTAAAACTCTAAAATAAAAACTTGAAAATTATTTATCAAATAAGAACACAATAATCTTCAATAGTTTCTGCAGTTCAGCTATTAGTAGCGTTTTTCACATAAAAATTTCATTTTAAGAAGTGTGCAAAAATTTTAAATCTAAATAAAATGGTATAATATATTTTTTCTCGTGAGATATAAATTTATAAGAATTGTAATTCAAAAAGAATTACGAAGAATTCAAATTTAACTTTTAGTTTTTTTATCTTTGCTTGAATTGGCATCTACTTTGAAATTTCGGGTCTTATATTGTTCTAGTACTCAGATTCTATTCAGAAAAAAGCAGTAAGAGAAGTAGGCGCAAGGTGCTTTCATTTTAGGGTTTCGTGGTCATAAGACTTTAGAATAGTCACTGTTACTACATCAACAGTTGCTATGAAAACAGATTTTATGGTTTCCATTGCTATAGCAACCGTTGCTATGGAAACAGTTGCTATGGTTTCTATTGACATAGCAACCGTTGCTGTGGAATATAAGACTTATAATATAAAAGCATTCCCATAGCAACGGTTTCTATGGAAATAGTTACTTTGGTGAACACATAAAACTTAATAACTACGGACGGTCGCCCGAATTTTGCTGTAAGGCACACCGTTCAGGAAGATGAATATTATCAACTTTCATTGTGGGAAATTTTTGTTACGGTTTTATGATTCTAGAAACCTTCCTGACAAAAATGCTGCTTTGACGAAAATCGTAACAGCTAATTCTACAAAGATATTTAAATATTTATATAATTGCTCAATACAATAAGTAAGCGTTGAACATAAAATCTTACAAAAAACATGTACATATATACATATGAGATTTTATATTCAATGCTTACTTGTCTTGCACAATTTATATAAATATTTGAATATCTTTGAAGAATTAGCTGTTACTGTTAAAGTAAATGTAGGTTTCAAATATATTAATTGATTTTGAATTTAGTTCACTATAAAGTCCATCAGGTAGCGCACCATTGTATTTTAATATTTTTCAATGTGTTTATACAACTCTATAAAGGACTGCGTGTTCTCAGTTTGTTTTGACAATAAAAAACATTAGAACTATGTTCGATTGTAAAAGCAGTTAATATTCATATATTTTTCCATAATAAAGCAATCTTTCTGCCAAAAACATTTTTGTTCATTGAAGTACATTAGATTAAACTAAAAATCTAATAGTTACGATTTTCGTCAAAGCAGAATTTTCATCAGGAAGGTTTGTGGTGTGAAGGGTTTCGGCCCTAGGACACGAACCCCTAAAAACGAGAATAAACTGTCTCTTTTCAAAAATAGTGTTATTCAAATTTCATAAAATTGTAAAAAAAGACAACATATTATAACATTTATAGTAACTATACAAATCAATTTCTTCTTAAACTGCGTATTTAAAATTTATATCATTTTATTTAAGAAAACTTAATTTTATGGACAAGAAACGCTTTTGCTCTGAGAACATTTCTAGGAAGTTTTAAACATGTTGCATATCCGGAAAATAATATTTAAAAGTAACGTTTAAAACATTTCTTAAAAACTGTTTTAGAATATCAAAAGTTTTTAAAACATTTATCGGTCGATAAATATATATTTTAAAAATATTTTATGAATGTGTTCTCAGAGTAAATACGCTTCTGTGCCTACTGGGAAGATATCGTAAATATGCCATATTCATGTGTAGACAAATTCGGATTCGTCTACATTTTAACGTAAATCTTAACCAATAAGGTTATTGCAGGCATTCAAACGATTTCGTGTTGAAATTAAAATTAGCAGATCTATTATATTTAACAAATAAATAAGTTTTATTTATACATTGATGTCGGAAATTATGGGTACATAGTACTCTGCAACCAATTTCAACACTCAAGTGTTGACACAATTAAGGGACCAGATCGAAGAACAGACGCTCGGCAATACTTAAGATAGAAAAGCGTTGGTTCATTGTTTCGAGCCCTCAATTACAATTTTTTCAATTTAAAGGTTTTCTCTTCCTCACTGGACAATACAAAAAGCCAACCCCTACGTGGCCGAGACGTTCCAGCTTTTCTGCATCTTGCTGTGTGGTTGCTACAATAGCGAGCTTAACACCTCGCTTATTTGTCCCTAGGACCGTTTTTTTCTGCTTCCTACTGGCACTGCCGAAACTCTATCCAGGGCCTCCTGATCATCTGCTGGCTCTATAAGACAATCCAGATCGAGGATATCCAATGTAGTTGGCCGGTCCTAAATCTGCTCCTTACCCAGGTCAACAATCACCTTTGTCACCCCATTGGTGACTGTCTGCTTATCAGAAGAACCTCCAAGTTTGATACTTCTTGGTGGATCTAGCTCCAAAACAAATTGTATGGCTATTTTCTTGGTTCACCTCCTCTCGGATATTTCCCAGAACTGCTGTAAACGTCGATCCTTCAACGACCTTAACGATCATTGCTGACCTTTTCTGTGGTCTTCCTTTCTTCTTTGTTTGGTCCTTAGTCTTTTCTAGAGGTCCTTCATCCTTCTTCTTCTATGAGTTTTTAGTCAACTGAGGAATTCTCCTCTTTCTCTTCTGACCCTCCAAGATGACATTTCTTAATACTATAGCGTTTAAGTGGTCACGTCTAACTCTTCGATCTTGTCTTGATTCCTCTGACCAGACCAATTGTTGGTAGAACCTCTCGACTAATTTTTTGCAGCTACGTGCTTCTCTTTGATTTCCTGTATGAGAGTTATGCTTTTCAGTCCGTCCTTGATCGTCATAGTGACGTTTTTCTGGACATCACAGGACTTCAGCATTTTGCTGACCTCTTCCTCCATTCTTTGAATGCAAGCTGCTTCCTCCTCTCGTAGCTTTATAGATTGGTCCCGATCTCTAATGACATTGCAGAAAGCAATGTCATTAGCCGAAGCATTACTGAAGACAGAAATGCAGCTGGGTTGATTTGTTACACTGCTCATACTTTCTCGTCTCTTCACCTTGTTCACGATGATCTGTGATGCTCCTAACGCGTTGTAGCCCTCCTGCATCCTTGGGCCACTGGTCACCTCCTTCGCGCTAACCGCTTGATGATCGGAACCAGTAAGAGATTTAAGCAAAGCATTACCCCGCAGGTACTTTTACATGTGTTTACAGTCTTGCATACTTGATGTTTGTACCGTATTGAGGGACCATGGGGTCTTAACAGGAACGCAGCTGACCTATCTACAGCTTTGCAGTCTCTTCCTATATGATTAAAGTTACAGCATTTATGACAGCTTGTGACTATAACTCTTCTAACAGGACTTATTAAAAACCCAATCTTTGTATGTACAATTTCTTCCAGTTTATTGACATTTTCTTGGTTGGCGACTATAATTGCGAGTTTCACTCTTCGCTTATTTGATCCAAGAACCGTCACTTTTCTGCTTATTGATGATTCAGTTGAATTTGTAGACCCTGCAATTTTTGTAAGGTCTACTTTCTGAATGGGTCTTACTACCACAACCATCAGCTGACTGTCCTCCGGGTTTGTTTCTTTACGAAGTTTTCCTAACACGGCGATGTAAGTCATACGGTTACAAGAAATTTACTAGAAAATTAATTTAATAAATCTTCAGCCACCTTGACAATCATCGTTAACCGTTGTTGTGGCTTTTCTTGTTTATTGACTGAACTTGGCTTTGGTGCCAGTATCGTAACCTTGCTTTCAGTCTCTTTTTAGAGGACTTTCCTTATTCCTCTTTTTTATTCTTTTATCAGCTCGTAACTACTACTTCTTCTTCCTGAGACTTAAAGACAACGTTCTTCATTACTATCTGGGGTTCTACGTGTAAGCGGAATCGTGAGTCG